CGAGATCAGTCAAATTTACCAAACCCATACAGAGATTAATTACTGAAAATAACAGATAAAATATAAAGTTTTTCTTAAGAAATATTTGATAACTATCCAGACATTATAAAGATTTTGCATGTGAAATTTGAAAATTTTTCGATGCATAAAAGTATTTTTAATCTTAAGTTGAAAATTACTTTGCATGATAGATAGGCAAGATGTGAAAAGATGCTTTACAAACATTAAGACTTAATAAAAAAAAATTAGTTATTTTGCATATGTAAACATTGTAATGTTTACTGATAAACTGCCAAATTTCGTTAATATTTGCTTACTAATTTTAAATTTATAGCATGAAAAATATAACAAGCACAAAATGGTTACGAGTTCATTCCTGGGGACCAAGCCCGGGTTTAAAGAGTTAACTGGTATCATACCATCATTGTAAAAATGAAACATTACTGCATTACTAAAGAAGTTAAACATTGTTACTTATTATTCAATTAATGGGCCCATCAATTAATCAGTTGTCCAATACCATTAATCTCTGAACTGTAATTCTGGGTAGTTTTGTGTGTCTTCAATAAATAGCAGTAGAAATATTTATGGTTTTAGGATTTTTTCTATTAAAGTCAAAATTTAGCTCTAGGCATACAAGTGTGATAGTAGTAAGTTGTTTTGTTGCTTATGTTTGTTTTCAAAAATACTTAATTTATGCAACAATTTGTTTACACTTTGATCTGTAAATATTTCATGACAATTTCTTGGAAGTGAATATAGTTTCAGATGATGTTTTCTCTTTCAAAATCCAACCCATCTGATGAGTTTTGACATTCAAATAATGGTTCTAGTCATTTGTGTCAGATGAAAGATAGATGTGTAATTGTATATTTACACACCTCTCATTTGATATCCATAACAGACAAATTCAGAGTAATGTTAAAAAATATGCAGTCTAATAAGGTTTTTCACAATAATTAGGCCTGTTGTTTTTTTCTTTTTTGCTTATAATAGAATTACTATATCAGTGTAAAGTAGATGTATTGAGCTACATTAGACAGAAAGCTGATTCATGTGATGTTATCTAAATAATAATTCTAATACTTTTTATTTCAGGCTGACACATTATTGTACATCAGAAATTTTGTTTTGCTTTTATATCATTAAAAAATAATGATTAAACTAGTTTACTGTCTGATAATAGTATATTTAGTAAATTTTGTAATCTTATATAATTTTACTTAGTACCATAAAAACATATTTGACCTACTACTTTCTGTAAAAAGAACATTAAATAGCAAAAACATTAGATCTAGATGTAGATCTAATATCAGCTGATAGACTCCTGCTAATGTGTTCTGTGCATGCTCCTATTTGTATGCATATGATTAAGTATACATTAGGACTGGAAAAGCAAACATAGTTTGGATAATATTTTGATAATCAATATTATAGATCTAGCATTTTTAATGTTGCATATTGATATTTCCAATGAAATTTCATAAAAGTGTTATAAACATGAAAAATAAATAAAAATAACAGCCAATTGTTTGTCCATCCCTTATTTTTTAGTAAATAGCTGCTAAAAGTGAAATTTCATAAACATTTTTTCGTTTTAGCGGTTCTACTGGTGTGTTTATAAAACCTGAATGGTTGCTGACAATTAAAACATTAGCTGAAACCTGAGTTTATCCTGCATGCCACTCATTTTTGAACAGCTGATTAGACACAACTATCATTGCTGTTATTGGTCTGTGAACAAGAACATGATGTACCACTGGCATGAGCCTGACTGTTGCTCACCATGCTTGATGTCACTCACTTCTGACTCAATTTTTCCACCAAGCAATTGCAAAAGCTGGCTTTTGCACTAAGTTTGGGAGTTAGCAGGGCCTAGGGCAAATTATCAAAAATAATTGTCAGCTTATTGTGTTTTTAACTGTCTGACATCTTTAAAGTCCTACTCTGAATGGCTATGACAAAGTAAGGAATTATATAATAACATGCTGATACGCAAAATTTTTCAAAATGTAGGGCTTTTAGAAGAGAGAAGTAGGAAAAAATTTAGATTTTGTTGGGATTTGACTTTATAAAGTTCTTACTTTTTCTGGGATGCCTGCTGGAAGGCTTCAAATATATGTGAAAATTATAAATTATAATTTTTAATAGTAAAAATCTCATTAACCTTAATAAGCGAAATGTTTCATTATTAACAAATTATATTTATTTTATGAATTTAGATTTTTTTTTTCAGGTATCCGAACAAATGATTAAATTACATCAATCTGAACAGCTTTCAGACTTGGGCTCAAGACTGAGGTTTCTGATTTGTTCCCAGTTGGAAGAAGCCCTTACAGGAATGTTTCCCAATTGTCAAGTGTTTCCATTTGGTTCTTCTGTGAATGGTTTTGGAAAGAACTTTTGTGATTTAGACATGATACTAAGCTTAAATACAGTTCAGGTGAGAAAATAAACCTATTAGTCTATTTCTTGTGTCGATGGCTTACTCCAGTGTACAAAATTTAATTTACAGAAGCTGTTGTAATTTAGGTATTTATTATCATTCCTCTAATTCATTAAATACTGTACAAGCATTTAGCTTAACTCTCTCGCTCCGGGTACCCTTTACTGCACATGACACAGTTTTAGTGTCTTACAGTCAAAACTTTATTAAACTACTTTTTGTTTATATTAGACCAACTATAATAGCATAAAATGTTAGCTAATAATCCATATTTTAATAGTATACAAGTTTTAAGTTCTTAATTGTACAAGGCAATATTTAAAAAAATCCTAAATTTCCACTAGTGTGACCCACGTGTCTTAGAATGTCGTCATCTCTATTTTATCCAACACCCCTCAAAAATGTACGAAATTAAACGTAAAATACTCTCTATAAAATCTCTATTCCTCAAATAAACCATAATTTTTATAGCTTTCAATTTTGTTTGGCTATAGAGCTATTGAATAGAAAATCAGACCCCACCTGTCACATCCTCTCTTGTCAAATTCGTTGATAGTTCTCTCTTATGTTTCATTATATATATTACCTATAACCAATAGAAAGTCAAGGTTTCATCTTTCAAATGACGTATTGTATAACATTGTATTTT